GTGAAAGGAACGTAAAAGCGTCGTTAGGCATCAGATTCCTTCTTTGAATATTCCATTCAACTTAAATTCGAAAAGAGATAATTATCCATCCCTCCAAGTTTTGGCGAGAAATCGCCCCATAATGGGATCAGTTGAAGTTTTCCCGCGGGATTTTCATCCCCAGAAATCTCTAATACGATTTCATTTATTATTGACGTCCTGTACCGGGCAGCCGCTAATCGCTAAAACCTTCTTCTGGCGTCATTCATTAAATTATTTGCAAAAGATGGGGCCAAGGCGTGGCCGAGAAATATGCTTTCAAAAGGAGTTGTTAAATATTTACACTAATGGCCCCCTGAAGTTTTCTTGGGCCGAACGTTTTTCAATATGATGTATATAAATTGCATGAATTATGGACCGCCAGTGTTTTCCTTTCGGGGATAGAATTCTTTGGATTTAATTAGAAAAAGGACAGCGCTTTAAAATAAGGAAAGGTGATGGATTTTCGAAACTTGGGAGTCATGGCCAGAAACGTGATTTTTGATGTTTAGTATGTCTCCCAATCTCGCGATTAAAATGAAAGATTTTACTTTAAGGAATATTCCAAAATGAATCACGATTTTCCCTGACTTTGGCAGGAAAATTCTTTAGCTTGGATTCTTCGTGTAAAGTTTTCGCTAAGCAATTTTAATCTACTTTTTACGGAGTATCCTTTTTACACTTTAATATTTATTTAAAGCATAAAAATATTGACTTTGAAAAATTGAAAATAAATAAATGTTAAGGGGGCACAAGATATTGAATTTTTGTTAGACATACGCATTCCGGTATTTTTAGTATAATATTATACCAGATGTTACCAGACTGTTAAAACTGTTTCTTACGACTGTTGTGCCTCTTAAGACTAAAGTTTATAAGTGTGTTGTTGTTGTTATTTCTAATGCCACTTGCCACACTAGCAAGCCTGCTTGGCGAAACCGAGCAAATTTGAGGCAGAGGGTGCTTTTCTTGTTTTTCAGCGGCGCCATCTGTGGTCAAGTACTCATCTTCAACCACACACACGCCACAGCCCGTTTGTAGGGCGGACCCATTCATGCATCCACAGATCGTAATTTTGACCTGAATCAGAGAACGATCATTACCCAATCCAGTACCCCCAGAGTTATTGATTTGTTATGGGAACATGGAGGACTTTGCGACTCGACAGATTTAGCGTGCATCAGTCACCATTTACTACACGGGGAGTCTTCGGCCAGCGAAGTTCGAACCCACGAACTCTCGGACATGGTCCTAGCGCCCTACCGACCAGGCTATCCCGGCCTTATATGTGTGTAGATACGTTCTATGACCTTCATTTCATATTTAATTTCTGAGTAGTATTAAAATATAGATAAATCAAAGGATTCGCAGGTTGTTTATATTGCTTTACTTTTGAAAAAAAGGTATCAGAATACATATAAACAAGATTAAAGTACATAAATACATAAGTAAATAAGTATCATTGAGTAAGTGAAGCGGAAACGGAAAGCCTATTTTTTTAAATAATGTAAAAACTTTTTTTGTGTGGATATTTTTGAAAGTATGAATTTTTAAAGAAGCAAATAGAAAATATTTACAAAAATGCAAGTCCTAGTATGAATTTAAGCTGTTATAATTAAATTAAGAATGCTATATTTAACTAAAATTACCAAGATTTAACTTAACTGGTTTATAAGACGTCAATAATTTATGCGCGCAAGTTGAAAGCATTTTAATTAATAAAAACAGATTTAAAGATAAACCTTTGAATAAATAAAGTGAAACAAAATACACGAATATGCAAATGATTCAAAATTTTTTTTTTAGAAAGGATTTCTTTTTCTTTCTTAGTGAGTGAGTTATAGCAATTTTATTATAATTAAGGAAATCTTTTAAATATTGTCTTATACTTGAGATCAAATCGATTAGAATAAAGCAGGTCAATGCAATTTCTTTTTCAAAAAATGGAAAATTTCTCAATAAAAAACATTTTAGACACCTTAAAATATTATGATTCCAAAAACTGAAATTTAAAATTATGAATGTTGGGAAATTCTATGAATTATTTGCTTCACATGTATTTTCCATGCACTGTTGGAAATCTCTTGGAAAAATAGTTAAATAATGATTTATTTTATTGTAATTTTACCATATGCAAACAAAAATGCCAAATTACTGTAAATAAGGTAGTAATCAAATTGCTAACTGTGAGAAAAACCATTTATTAACTGTTTTAACCTAATACGGTTAAACAATCAGAATTTTATTGCACCAACTAAGCTCACCTAATAAAGCCACTCAGTTCCTTGCAGATGGATACATAGTACAACCGAGAGGGCTAA